ATCATGTAGAAATATGTGTGTGAATCTTTCTGGGTAGTATTTGTTTCACTTGGTTGTGGCTCGTTGCCACTGACAGTAGAGCCTCACAGCTGTATGAAATATAATATCACGTCTTTCAAACACATTTTTTCCTGGTTTCTAGTTTCAGAGTGAATCTGTTTTTTTTTTATAAACCTAAACATCATCAGATCTTCACAGAAGTTGGATTTTTAAATGTTTTCAGTCACTGTGGTGAGAATCCGCTGATGTCTCAGCCATGGTGGTAATGCTGGAGCTTTAGATGCTGCGTCCACACTGGACGGGATTTGCTCTGATGTTTGATGACTTCAAGAGACGAAGAGAAAAATAACCAGCGCCGATGCGAAATGGTCCCGACTTTTCTCACCTTGGAGGTGTGCAGTGACTGTGAGCGCCAGGGCAGGATACGACGGCTGACACATGACCTGCTTTTAGAGGATTACCGAGACAACCAAAGGATGACATGTGTGCAAGTAGCTGCCATCTGCTGCAAAGCCACCTTTGACTTTGCAGCTTTATATAAGTTTTTTCAGTGGTCATCGAGATATAAGCAAACTGAATGCACAAAACAAAAACAAAGAGCTTGTATCTGTGCCCCAAAATAAGGTCGTTAAAACCCTTTTTCCTGTGCAAGTTTCCATCACTGTAATTACTACTGCTGAATTCACCCACAGATTTCAGTTCCCCGTGCTAGCTCTCATCATGTTTCTGCTTTAGCTTCTACTAAGACAGGCCTTTGCACAAATAAACAACCACTGCTACCCTTCACAGAAGTCTGGACTGAGGGAGGTGACTGCATTAGTTAGTATTTAATCCTTTAACAGCCTCATGTTCAGTCATTAAACAACAATGTGTGCACAGCACTGCTGTACATCGTGCTGCTGTATGAACATGCATGAAAACATCATAAAACACTGAAATGTGATGCATTAGAAAAGAAGTGTGATGTGAAAACCTTTATTCCGTAGATATAAACTGAACTAAGCAGGAAAACTGTCTGAAGATTATTCCAAGCTTTTTATCTGAACCCACAACATCCTGTGTGAGTGACACATCCATCAGAGGAAGCAGGAATGTTAGCAGAGGGAAAATCAGTCCGTTATTACAGTCGGGAAAATCCAGAACCGGAAAGAATGATCATCGGATCTTTTCATCAACCACATTGCAGCAAGTACGGTATAATGATCCCAGTCTGGACTGGGCACAGGGTGTGAACCATTCATCAAGGAAGAGACGTCTCGATTAGACAGCAAAGCCATCACAGAGCTAACAGCAGCCTGTGCAAGAAGGACACGCAGGCTCTGACACACTGTGACGAGTGGGCTTCACTTACATAACTCTTTCTTACATTTAAGAATAATAATATCTGGTCACGTTAATAAAGAAATGTGAGTTATTAGCTTTTGAAGTTGAAATGAACACGGTGCCCCGTTAGCTGAGAAACCATCGTCTGTGTCAGTCTGGTTGTTTCTGAGCTTTCGGGGCTTCTTTGACTCAAACACGTTTCATCATTTGCTGGTGCTTGTTGGTGTCTTTAAGGATGAGGTGGACAGTCAAAACCCAGTGTTGAGAGACAACCCTCAGCTTCACGAAGAAGTGAAAGGCTGGCTCAAAGACCAGAAGGTGCAGGAAATTTTTATGCAAGGTAAGTCTTTGTTTGGACGATGTGGTGGCATTTTAACACGGTGTCTCAGCACGTCAGTGACATCTGTAACAGTTGTTTTATAAGGAACATGCAGTGGGACTATAACTGCAGTGGGAACTGTTTCCTGTGGCTTGCAGGTCCCTACTCATTAAATGGCTACCGTGTGCGTGTGTACAGACAAGACTCGGCCACCCAGTGGTTCACTGGTATCATTACACATCACGACCTCTTCAGTCGAAACATGGTCGTTATGAATGACCAGGTACGTGGATGCGCTCGCACACAGTTATGTGATGTTATTATTTAAGCAGTTTTACACTGTGTGAAGTGGATTGAAAGGATGGGACGTGTGACCTTAACTAGAACCTGAGACACAGCCACCCCTCTGTCGTCATCATGTTTAAAATAATAATCATTTACAGACGTTTCATCTGATTTCATCTGGTATTAAGAGACAGAGGCAAAAGGACACTGCTCAGTTACTGATTTACACTGAAATCACATTGATACCATAGATGATACTCAAAGTCTCAGAAGTGTTTGAATCTTAGTTACCTCAGGGTCAGAGGTCGTTTTGGTGTATCCACTCCGAGGCTGAAGGATACCTGTAATGGTTGGTTAGCAGATATTCTGTTCTTGACCTGTGCATGCAGAGTAACGTAAAATACTGTAATGATGTTTTTTACATTTGCATCTAGTTTCTGTTCATCATATCGTTTGAATTCTCCAAGAATGAACCTGGTGTGTGTGCTCAGGTGCTAGAGCCTCAGAACGTGGATCCATCCATGGTCCAGATGACCTTTCTGGATGACGTTGTTCACTCTTTGCTGAAAGGGGAAAACATCGGCATTACCTCCAGACGCAGGTCGCGATCCAGTCAGAACAACAACGCTGCCCACGTGAGTACAGACGCACAAAGACACAGCAGCAAATATGATAAACTATCTGTCACCTGTGCTGTAGGTAAAATTAGACGTGAGGAATAAAGAATGGATTGTGTGCAAAATATTCAGTTGATGAGGGTGTGGAGATGACAAAGGGATGAGACGCACACAGCTGCAGAATAAAAAAGATTCATGACTGTCGAGCTGAACGCATCCAGCATGTGGCTTTGGTGTTGTTTCTGTTAGCGAGCACAAGCTGCTGCTTTTCATCTAATCAGCATCATCTGCATCTCTGTGTATCTGTCCGTGTCAGAGACATTGGTCAACACAGATCTCTGCACGCTCCGCGTCATTATCCTTTAATTTCCCAATCAGCGTTCCCTGAACAGGGCTGTGGCTCCGGAATCTCCCACAGAGCTGTTTGACCAATGTCCTTCCTTATTTTCTGTGTTCACCGTATCTTTAAATTGCCAACTTTGCCTTTAAAGTAAAAGTTTCTATGAACCTCGACTAAGAGGTCAGACACACAGGCGCTGTTCTGCTCACCTCTTGGCTCCGTGTGCTGCGATGTCAGCAGGTGACCTTTAAACTGTGGTGATGTAATGTCAAGTTGCCACGCAAGCTGGTGTACGGAGCTAACGTTGAACTCTTAGCCAGTCCCGCAGTCAATAACAACATTTCTCCTTGTCCCACATTTTCTTTGTGTTCATTTCATTTTGTTATTTTTCTTTTTATTATTTTTTCCTGTTGTCGTTGACATTTTAAAGATGGCGGGAGGGAGACCCGGCGGGACCACTGGCAGCACTCAGGTACCCCAGAACCCCCACTGCTACACCACCTCCCAACCCTCCAGTCCTACACTTTCTGCAGTAGAACAAAGCTGACAGACGTCATCTGTGCTCAACATTTTCACACACCCCGAAATTTAACTCAGGCTCAGGGTTGCACTTACAATGCAAAGCGCCGTGATGCGATTACTGTTTTCATTTGGTAAAAAAACAAGCTGATTATCTGGAGTGGAGCTCCACACATCATCTCTGAACTGAGATGCAGTCTGGGGCCAAAGCTGGAAGCACGGTCAGTGATCAGCTTCAGTGGAGGCGGACTGATCGGTCTTTTCAGTCTTATTGGTTAAAGTCAGGTTTTATTAAATAATACTGGCTGCCTCAGCAGGCACTCGGTCACACATCATCAATAGTTTTACTCCATTTGTCTTTTGAATAAGCAGACAAATTAAACTCTGTGAAGGTAAAATGTGGAGATCAGTGTTTTTTAAATGAATATAGTTGACCTGCCTGAATCATCTTAAACGTCTAATATTCAGGTTTAATATTCAGTTTAAAACGTTTTCTGTGAACACCGATTACATTGTGTTCATGGAAGTCAAAGACTGTGATGTTTCACATGTTCATTAAAAGAGTAACCAGCCCAAAGTGCTTCTCACAGCGCCATCTACTGGCTGCTTTACCCTCCGCCACACCCCGGGTAATATAGCTGTTCCCAGGCTCACACGGTGTGTGTGTGACCACAGAGGTCAGTGCAGCAGTGTCTTGTGTAGTGTGGGGTTGCCTTTCACCGAGGATTAGATCCTGACTCTCACAGACACTGAGTGTCCTGTGCACCATGTGCCTGGCTGTAGGTTCTGTCCTTATCAAAGGTTTGACCGTGTTAGCACGTGTCTCTCTTACGGTCAGCAACAGAGTGGATAAACACACGGGCACAGCAGCCTCCAACATGTCAGTCAGAGTCTGCAGAAGTTGTGTTAACAGGAACAGACTAACATCGACCACACAACGCTGAATGTCAGTGTTTGTCAGCTTCTAGTGATTGCAGGGAAATAACCACGGGCCCATGTTGGTCATGAAAAGTGGATAGGTGCTTAGTTCAGTGACTCTGAGGCAACTTCATTGACCTGCTGACGCTGGGATAAGGATAACGCTGACTAATGGGAGAGAAAGGAGCGCCCACTCCCACAAACAAAAAGTGAAGTCACAGCCCGGTAATGAGGCCTCAGTGTCAGCCGTCCACAGGGATGGAAACAAAAAACTCTTAAAGACCTCGTTTCACTTCTTTCACTTACGGTGACGTTCTCGTGCAGCACAAATGTAGCCAGATCAGCATCACTGTCATCTATAATGAAACACGTCGTTTTCCAAAGCAGAGCTGAGGCTCAGATCATCACATGCAGCTCGTGTGCACAGACGTTCTTGTTTATTGTAAATACAAATTGGACATTTAGCAAATTCAGTTCCTTGTAAACATCTCGTGAATTGCACTGACTGCTGTGTTGCACAGTGCTCTGCTGTATGTGTACAGTAAACTAACACCTGGCAGATTTAGTAAAATAGTCACAAATCGCATTGAGCAGGTGTGCTTTCAGGGACAGGTCATCAGAGCACTGAACACCTTCTGAAAGGATCTTTGTAAAAATAGATCAGCAGATGCAGCCTTGTCTTGTGTACAGTACTGGTTACAATCATTTGAGCGTACTGGTTTGTAGGTTTTCATCTACTTTACAGACAAATGCACCTTCATGTTCTCTGCAGCTCTGGACCTCATTACCTAATATCCTGTAAGAAGCAGAATGACAGTGTCTTTGTTGCTGTGCGGGAGTCACAGTATCAGGATGTGCTGGGACAGTGATGCTGTCATTGACGAGCTGTCTCTAGCCTGAGATCAGCTCGCTGCCCTGCACTCTGCAGCCTATAAAACAGCTCCAGTCATCCGTGTGTGCTCTGTCATCTCCCATCACTGCTGTGGTGGCAGTTCATAGCAATGTCGTCCTTCCTGTCTGCTGCAGCAGCAGCGTGGGTCATTTGAATGGCGGTGACCCTCAGTTGCAGTCGGGGATGTTAACTTTGTGCTCGTTGTATTTCACACCAACCCCACAGCAGACTGATAGTGTTGTTCTTGTGCATCTTCACCCACCAAGTTAAGTAGTTTAAACTTCACTGACATGATTTCACATATTAAACCAGGCAATAGCTACTGTTACCAGAAGCTTCTGTGCTGTTACTGGGACCCAAAGCCTGTCGGGTAACCTCAACACGTCACAGATGGAGGTTTTCCTGTCCACGTGATAAATAGGGACACAAAGTAAACCCTGATGACTGCAGGAAGTGTTCGTGTCTGTGGACGATCTCTGACTGAAGCTAAACTCAGGCGTGTTTTAAATTAATTGCAGACGTATATCAAGCAGTCATGTATATCTGACTGTCGTGTAGATACCATATAGAAGAACGGTGTGTTTGTTCCTTTCTTACTTCATAATCTGTACAGTTGCTTCACACCCATGGTAGCCCGGTTACTTCCTTTGTTTGTTGATGTCATGTATAAATGTGTCAGCCAATGCTTGATCGTGTGGAGCATACAGCCTGCCAGCCGTAACAGTGGAAACCAGACAATAGAATCTGATGTAGGTTTTACTGATGTTGTTGAGGTGCACGTACCGGTGGGTAAAACCAGACTTGTGTTTGTGATTCTGTAGATTTCTGTGCATGAATTAAATTTGTTCTTTATTTCTGTTTTCATTCGTGTAGAGTCATTACACACGAGCCCAGGCTAACAGCCCTCGCCCCATCATGACATCAATAGGCCCCAACTCTAAAGGCTCACAGGGCACGCTGGCTTCCCAACAACTGAGCCAATCGCAGCAGAGTCAGCAACCAGCCAGCCAATTGCACCACTCGCCCGGTGGCAGCGGGCGGGAGCAGAGAGAGCAGCGCAACCCTCGTTCTTCCAGGAGGAAGGGATCAGATAGCAGCGTTCCAGAGGAGGAAAAGGACCGACGAGAAGAGCCCGCAGGGCGAGGTGAGTCGGGTTTCATCACAAAGAGCTAAAACATGCACATGTGAAGGCGTTTATGGAAGCACGGCCACTGAAAACTCCATTCAGTCAGTCGATGTGGTGAAAAGTCCACAGTTTCATCAGAGTCAGAACAAATATCAGCCTGTGTCTCAGTGAAATCACAACAGCATCAATGTTCAGCTTCCACAAAGTGACTTCACCAGAATGTGATGTCATGGTGGCTTCCCCCATCTTTTATGTACAGTCTATGACCTTAACCTAACCTATCGGAAAAAAGAAGCAATTTTTGGTTGCTGTGCAAAGTTAGTTTAACGTAATCAGCATAACGTGGTATAACAGTTAATATGATGTATTATGTACCATCATATTTAGTTTGTAGGTTTCTGTTCAGGAAAAGTTTACGCCTCGCCCACGTGTGTGGATCTGACCCAGTTTAGTGGCTAAACCAGTCCA